TGTGAACCAGTGGGTCTCTGCATTTCTGTCTGTTTCTTGTGCCTTTTCTTGGGCTCTTTTCCTTCTGTTTGTTTGTTTGTTTTATCCTATTCCTGTGTGGTAGTTTTGTTTTATATTATTATATTTTATTATTATCCCTTAGATGTCTGTTTATTTTCTAATGAGACACAGAAAAGGGATGGATCCAGATGGGAGGAAAGGTGGGGAGGAAGTGGGAGGAATAAAGGAAGGGGAAACTGTGATTAGGATGTATTATATGAAATACATAAAAAAAAAAAAACCTTTTCAATAAAGGGAAAAAATAGCCAAAACAGACTTGAGAAAGAACAGCAAGGCCACCTGTCTTGCCTTTTCTGATTGTACAATGTATGATGAATCTACAGTAACTGAACAGTGTGGTGCTAGTGTAAGGGAGACAGACATAAAGATGAAGGGGATAGAGAACTCAGAAGCAGACTCTCATGGCAAACAATGGTCTCTTCTACAACTAGTCATGTGACTATCTACATGCAAAATGATACTGGACTCTTTCCTTCCACTAAATACAAAGTCCAAAGGGAAAATAACTAAATCTAACACTTGAAATGACGAAACTCCCAGAAGAAAATAGAGTGCTTGTCGTCTTGGCAATGATATCTTCGCTATCATTCAAACACAGTCAACAAGGGCAAAAGTGGACAAGTGTGACCACATCAAACCAAAAAGCTGTGACACAGCAGAGCAGGAAAATGTGACCTGTGAGATGGAAGAAAAAAAAAATTGAAAACCGTGTATCGGAAAGGGGGTCAATATATGAAATACATGATTCAAAACATAGAGAATAGGAAGAAGCAAAGTGCTAGAGAGGTCCACAGAAATCCACAAAGATACCCCCACAATAGACTACTGGCAATGGTCGAGAGACAGCCCGAAGTGACCTACTCTGGTGATCGGATAGCCGAACACCTTAATTGTCGTGCTAAGAACCTCATCCAATGACTGAGGGAACTGGATGCAGAGATCCATGGCCAGGCCCCAGGTGCACCTCCAGGAGTCCAATTGGTGAGAAAGAGGGGGGTTTGTATGAGCGAGAGTTGTTGAGACCAAGATTAGAAAAAAGCACAGGGACAAATAGCCAAACGAATGGAAGCACATGAATTATGAACCAATGGCTGAGGGGCCCCCAACTGGATCAGGCCCTCTGAATAGGTGAGACAGATTGATTAGCTTGATCTGTTTGGGAGGCATCCAGGCAGTGGGACCGGGACCTGTCCTTAGTGCATGAGCTGGCTGTTTGGAACCTGGGGCTTATACAGGGACACTTGGCTCAGCCTGGGAGGAGGGGACTGGACCTGCCTGGACTCAATCTACCAGGTTGAACTCAATCCCCAGGGGAGTCTTTGCCTTGGAGGAGATGGGAATGGGGGGTGGGCTGGGAGGAAGGCCGGGAGGACGGGGGGGTGGGGGGGAAGGGGGAAGAACAAGGGAATCTGTGGCTGATATGTAAAATTAAATTATAAAATAAAAAACAACAAAACATAGAAAAAATTAATATAAATCAACAGTAAATAATGAACTTGCATAGACATATATCCTTCATTTGTCCCAGCATATAGAATTCCATTGCATGGCTCTGTCACAAGTTGCCTTATCGTTTCTGTCAATGATCCTTAGACAGTTTCTGCCATTTCTCTATCATGAAATGCCATGGACATCTAGTGCACGCTTTTAGTGAGTAGATTCACACAGTGTTGTTTGGCATACATGGGAATGGAGGTGCAGAACCCTGAGGTCAGCACATCATCAGTGTTGTCAGACATAGCTAAGGTTTCCAGCAGTGCCAGTTTGTACATGCAGCATCACTGTGGGAACCCGGTTGTCTCAGCTCTTCTCCAGGACTTAGTCTTTCTATTTTTCTTCTTAACTGCCTGGGCACAAAATCATGGTAGCATCAGGAAGGCTTGCTCCAATAGGACTTTTGACTAATTAGAGATTTGTTCTACTTAGTTTAAGCAGTTTGGAATTCTACTGTAAACAAACACACACACACACACACACACACACACACACACACACACACACACAAGCACGTACACGCACGCACTCACGCACGCACTCACGCACACACTCACGCACACACGTACGTGCACATGGGAGCATACATCCTGGGGGCAAGCTTGACAACTCTTTCTGAACAGCCCAGGATCTAGAAAAACTGGTGTGAAAAGGCAGACTTCCATTAGAGGTCAGCACGAGACTGTCCTGTGACACACTGGCCAGCTCTCTGTTCGTTTTTTCTTTTGTTTCCTTTGCATTTTTTTTTTTGAAAATATACTCTAGTTCCAGCTGAAACCCAAGAAAATGTTGGCTCAACAAACTTCACAATTTCCTGTCACACTGTAAGTTGTATACTATAAACTGGTGGCTTTGGGCCCAGGGATAAACCACCTCCAAAGAACACTGTAGTATAGTGTGGTGGTATTGTGTTCCCCAAAATATTGTGCACCCTAATAAACTTATCTGGGGTCAGAGACAGAACAGCCACTATATACAAAGGCTAGAAAACTGTGGCACTCACACCTTTAATTCTAGCATTCTAGAGGTAGAAATCCATCTGGATCTCTGTGAGTTCAAGGCCACTATGGAAACAGCCAGGCATGGTGACACACGCCTTTAATCCCAGAAAGCGAGCCTTTAATTCCAGGGAGTGGTGGTAGAAAGCAAAAAGGTATAAAAGGCGTGAGGACTAGGAACTAGAAGCATTTGGCTGGTTAAGCTTTCAGGCTTCTAGCAGCACAGTTCAGCTGAGACCCATTCGGATATGAGGACAGAAAGGCTTCCAGGAAACAAGACCAGCTGAGAAGCTGGCCAGGCGAGGTTAGCTGTGGCTTGTTCTGTCTCTCCGATCTTCCAGTGTTCACCCCAATACTTGGCTCCAGGTTTGTTTTATTAGTAAAGACTCTTTAAGATTCCTGCTACAGTGTAGATTTTTAAAGGGAGAACTCAGAGTGGGCAGGGTCTGGGTAAAGGGAATGGTGAAGATAAGTATTTTTCATAAACAACTCAGAGGGGCTGGGCCTTAGCTCTGCTGTGAGACAGTGAACAACAGTACAGAGGAAGGGGGATGTAATCCAACCTGGAGGGCTTTTCATGGCATTTGTTCCCAGCAATCGGCAATAAGTGTTCCGTTTCTTGTGGCTTTGTCCTCTGCAGTGAGTTTCCATTTCTCTGAGGCAGGTCACTGCCCATCACCTGTGGTGTTCTTTCCTCAGCGCACCAGAAAGGAAGGAGAAGGTTGGTGGCTCACTGGCCCCAGCCAACCAAGTGTTTCCACACTCTTATTATTGGCCTGTGTGCTTGGCGTGGGCCCTCTTACAACTACTTCTGTGCTCATGGGCAGAAACAGAGACCCAAGCTCCACACCAAAATGATTCCTTAGGTCCAATGGGAGAGTAGGGGGAGTCACCAAGAAGAAGAAGATCACGTGAACCTAAATAAAAACTCAGGCCTTCCTAGCATTTCCCAGCCCTTCTCCATCAAGAGTTCTGTAACATCTGCCAATAGACTTCACCTTCGCATTTCTCTGAGCTGTTTTCCTGGCTGTTAATTCTTTTTTTTTTTTTTTTTTTTTTTTGGTTTTTCGAGACAGGGTTTCTCTGCGTAGCTTTGCGCCTTTCCTGGAGCTCACTTGGTAGCCCAGGCTGGCCTCGAACTCACAGAGATCCGCCTGGCTCTGCCTCCCGAGTGCTGGGATTAAAGGCGTGCGCCACCACCGCCCGGCTCTGGCTGTTAATTCTTGAACGGACAGAAAAGGGAGCCCTCTGCTAGCTCGTGTCAGTTGCCAATCATAGAAAGCTTGCCTACCACTCTTGAAGCCTGGGTTCAACCCCAGCATTGCAAGGAAGAAACGAAGACCCCAAGGAAATCTATTTTGTGTAAGTAGAGTTTGAAGTGCTGCTAATGAGTTCAGGAACACTGAATTAACATTGTACATGTATGTGCAAATGCACAGGCAGATGTATGCACTGTCTTGATCAGAATTTTTAAAACTCAGCTAATAAAAACTTTGATTTGTCATTGTAATTTTGTTGAGTAAAAATATGATGATAATAATTACTTAACCCATGAAAATATAGACTACTGACAAAATGTTTTAAATACTCTAGTGTATGGGGAAGATGTCTCTGGTGAGAAATGCCTGGAAATAAACAAATTATAGCTTTATTAGGAAAATGACACCGAGCTGTGGCAACAGTGTTTGTGGATGCACTCGTGGCTGTGGAATCTTCCCTTGAATATCTTGGATTTTGCTGGAGACTATAAAGACACAAAGAAACTTTTTGGAGATCGTGTATAATCTAATCCTGAAGACCTTAAGCATCAAAGGTGAAATCACCTTTCTTGATTTTGCTTTTATTTCTCAAGGAGTCAATAGCAACTAGAGAGGAAATTGTAGCTCTTCCTCTAATTTCCATTCTACAAAGAATGATGGGATTTTGAGCTATACAAGAATTTGCAGGTAAAAATGCTTAAACTAGGTTACAGTGTGACTGAAAGATAGAAATTTTTGGGAGTCAAAACATTGGGATGTTAGAGGGTCATTACTTTTCTGCTCTGAAGAGTTACCGCTGTGTGTCCTATAGATGCCCCCAAAAGGGTGTCCTAAAAGGGCCACACCTTATTCTCCAAATGTTTTCTTTTACTTTCTTCTTCTGCAGGACACTGAGCTGTGAGCATCTTTTGTCTTTCACCTCCTCCCCCTCCAGCAGGCCCAGGTGTAAGTGGTTAATTTTATTTAGGCTGGTAGAAGTCATTATCTCTTGTTGCATAAGAATGCTCAGACCTAGGACTGTAACACCAACCACCACCCATTATGATGGCCCCTTGTAGACCTGAGCTGTCTGTCTATGACCTCAGAGCAGCTTGCTTTCCTTTGGGCTGTCTTGGGAGGTGGTAGTGAGACAACAACCAGGGCTGTTTGGAGGTAAACAAAAGTCTCTTTATTCTATAGGCAAGAACTACTCACTCCAGGCATTCAAGACTAAAAAATCTGATTAGCTCTTGCATACCAAACACTCCTTTATTTGGGGAGTTAAGTGGGGTGTAGGGATTTTTGTGGAGAAAATACCACTGATTTCTTTCCCTGAAAAGCCCAGAAGAAAGGTTGTTCTTCCACACTGCCCAGGAGAACTAAAGCGATCTCCTGGTGGAGTAAGTGCAGCGATCTGATCAGCAGTGTCCAGGTTTCTATTTCAGCACAAGCGACATCAAAATGTCATGGCTTCCAACAGCGTCAGTTGTGCTGGGTCTTAGGATGAGTTTCAGGAGTCTGAGTGGGCTTTGCAGAGTGCTTCCTTTGCCCTCTGTTGTACTTGGATTTTTCCTTGGGCCACCAGCTCACAGGTAATGGCATGAAGACTTCTTATTGCTTATGAAAGCTCAGCCGATAGCTTAGGCTTGTTCCTAACTAGCTCTTGTAACTTAAATTAACCCATTTATATTAATCTATGTTCGATCATGTGGCATTACCTCTCTTCCATCTTGTACCTCCTGTTTCCTCTCTGTCTCCTGGTATCTCCTGGGCACCTAGATTCCTCCTCCTCTTCCTTTCTCTCCCTGGAAACCCCACCTATACTTCCTGCCTAGCTATTTGCTGTTCAGCCTTTTATTACACCAATCACAGCAGTACATCTTCACATAGTGTACAAATATCCCACAACACCTTGTGGCTTTGCTTGGATCACTCACCAGGGCTTGGCCAGTGACTGGGTCTGCTTGTAGAGTCCCAGGAGGCTACCCAGCATGTCTGAAAGTGGGTTCACCTGAAAGTGGGTCCTCTCTACTGAGTCTTCCCAACAGATTGGGTAGAGACCTGGTGGTTTATCACTTTCAAAGGCTCCTGGTTAAAGAATTCTCAGAATGTTCCCACACTCAGGAAGCAGCAAGTACCTCTAGCTGTTGTGTGAAAAATGGGAGATGGTTGCAGATAGTGATGAGGAATAAAACTTTTTTTTTTTTTTTTTTACACACCTGGAAAGTCAGGTAGAGAAGAGAGACCGACTCAAATAAGACCATGATTATTAACTCTGTGATGAATTAATTTGCTAAGTTAAGTAAATTAAAGGTTACTTATGTCTGGTGGCCTGGTATCACTGTGCAGTTGGCTAAGCTCTGGCAACTGTTTTAATGCACATTTTGTTTGGGGCTCCAACATGCAGGATTTGTCCCAGTGTTTTCCCTAAATGTTTGTGCATTTGTTTAGTATCGACAAAGAGATTCTATCCCTCACTCCTCTTCTTCCTCTCCTTTCATACCCACTGACTGGTATTTATTTAGTATCTATTATTTATGTGCCTAACATCATTTCAGATGTTGAAAGTGCAGAACTAATCAATATAAACTCTCTGGGATTAAGGAATCCACATTCTCCAGATTTCTTACTCAAAATTAAAAAGAAAAAAAAAAATCTCAGAACAGGGCAATGGGCTAGTTATGACTAATGGGAATTGGGAATTAAAACAGAATGTCTGTAAGACTCTAATTGTATGACCAGAAATATTTCCCTCTTAGCCAGCACATAAACACATTGGGAAAGCTCATTTCTTTTTGTACATGTGGGGAAAATAAAATACATTGAGGAATGTTGAGGAAAACTTTTTGGGATTCCTGGAGTGACTTTAGATTTACCAGGAAACTGTAAATGAAACAAACTTCTGTGTTCACTGTTCCAGAAAAGAGAAAACTCAGAGCAGGCAGTCCCGAGAAGCATCCTGAGCCGGGATGTGGTGTCCTTTCCATCCCCCCAGCCATTGGGCAGCTACAGAAGTCGGGGGACTTCAGACTCTAAGTTAAACTTCAGCAAAGTACAGAAGAGGGAGGTAAAGGTACTTTCCGATTTCGCTACCACACACGCCTTGAAATCTTTCTGTTTCTTGATGCACAGGCTCATCCATAGACTGAGCCTGCATAACTAGGCAGTAAAGCTGGCCATAGGCTAGAAACAACTGCAAATTCCACTTTTTTTTCATTCAATACCATGAAAATATGAATTCTCCTGTGCTATCAAATACTTCTGAAGTCGTGAGTTCTTTCATTGTATGAACATACCAACCCACTCAGATATTTACAGCTTCCTTTGTTATTGATAGTACTGGAGTTAACATCTGTGTGTATCTGTGTTTGGATGCAGCTCTGATTTTTTTCCCCTCCCTAGGATAAACTCCTGAAAGGGGAATTTCTTAGTCAATGATACAAACACTTTTAAGGCAAACTTCCCTTAAAATCTCTAACTTCCCCAGGCACATAAGAAAGAGGGATTTAAATGTATACTGTTGGTCTCCAAATGCCATCCAATAACTGTGTGGGTGACAGCAGACTCTCATCTTGTTAACAAGTGTGTGTGGGGGTTCATAATTGTTGTCTTAGATAATTTCTTAACTAGGGGAAATTCAACTCGAATCTGGAAGCTGCTTGAGATTAGTTCGGGAACAAAGTCCTCAGTGAGGCCAGGTTTTTTTTTTTCTTTCTTTCTTTTTTCTTTGCCTTTTAGTTCCCAACCAAGCAGCCACGTAAACTGGAGGTTGAAAACCGTCACTTACAGCTGCTCCTGATAAAACAGAGCAGTCTCAAGTGCTCTCCCGCTGGCAGCTGCCTCCTCTTCGGTTATCATTCCTTTGCCTGTATCTTCTCCCGTTTCTCATTTGGTCCCAAGCACAGAGCTAAGAGGGCGTCTGTTCTCAAGCCTGGGATTCGCTCATCTTATCGCTCTGCCTTGCTTCCCACCAAGAGGGGCCTTCGCTGCCGCTTCCCCTCCTCCAGGCCCCCCTAACCTTTTTAGCAGTTTATAGCACGTCCCTCTCTTGGATACAGAAAATGCAGGCCCTCAACAGGATCTGAGTGTGCTGTTTGGAACTGTTTATGGCCGATTTTGGACTCTGCAGGCAGGGCCATAAATACACAGTTAATCTGCCTGATAGCAAGAGCAGTCACCTTGGTCCCAAGAGATTAACCACATGTGGAAACACAGGGAGACCGTCCTTCCCGAACCAGTCCTGTGGTGCAGCTGGCTGTAAGCCTGGCTCTGCATGGACTGGGTGAGGGGACACAGATGCCCCAGCTGCCTCTGGGGGGCCCACAGTCTTTGCCTGTACAGTTGTTTAATCCCCCCAATGGGCTCCTCAGTCCTTCCCTGTCCTTGGAAAAGATCCACCAGTTGCCTAAGCCATGGTTTAACCTCTCTGCTGTTGTACTTTCAAAGCTTCGCCACCTCTTCTTAGGTCATTTTTGGGGTGCAATGTCCAGTAAGGTGGTCATTAGTAGCCACACGGGGCTATTTCCACTTACACGAAACAAGAGAGTGGAAGTAAAGAGTTCACTTTCTCAGTTAGACTCAGCACGTGTTAAGTGTTCAGTAGCTGAGTGTGGCGCGTGGCGACTGCAGAGGCCGAACAGTCTGTCGTTAAAGGAGGCTCTCTTGGACAGTGTTGATTTACGGCATTTGTATTGGGGAAGGAGGGGAATCCAGCCTCCTCACTGCATATTTTGGACTTTTTTGGGCAACCTGATGATAGCTGACAGCGTTTGAGCTTTTCCCCAAAGGCAGGAAATATGCTTTGAGAGCCCTACCTCATGGAACTTTAGGTAAACCTATGTAGACGGCGGATTATTATTGCGCCCACACTACAGACAACAAAAGGAAACCTGAATCATGCTCCCAGGACTACAGAGATGTTAACTGTTAGGACATCACCCAGTCCAATTATGCTCCCTAGCTGTGGGAAGCTCTGTGTGCCGGCAGCCAAGGTCCTAGGCTCTACTGCATTTAGGAGATTTCTCAAACACTGCAGGGCTCTAGGACTGAGGGTCCAGACTCAGGAGACTTCTTAGGTGTGGAGTTGGGTATCAGGTTGTGTACTCTCCATCTAGCTGTTTTTGGAAGAGAATATTCTAGAACTCATTTCCGTTTTGTGGCTTTCATTGAGAGTCATCTGAAATGGGGGTTTTCTGGTCGTTTTAAAAATTTTCAAGGTTAATACAAAAAACTGGCACAGAGTCCAAGATCTTTGGACCAGCTGCCCTGAATATTCTCATGTGTTTTGGATGGTGGTCACCTGGAGGGGTTTGTGGGGCTGTGAAAGGAGGGAGAATTAAAGGAGCCCCTGCATAGTTCTTCACAGGACCCTGTCTCATGTTCCCAGGAAGGCTTCCCATCACCGATTGCTCCTTCTTAGCACCCCAGTTTACTACAATTTAAGTGGCAAACAAACCTAAGTACTTTCATGGTCTACCACGTGATATTCTAATACAGTGTGGAATAGTAAATCAAGCTAATTAAGATCCCCACTAACTCACATCCTTATCTTTTTTTTATTTTATTTTATTTATTTTTTTTTGTGGTAAGGACGCTTATGGTCTCTTGCTCTCTTAGGAGATTTTAAGCACACAGTATCATAATATTGGGTAAAGTCACTATGCTGCCATAACAGACCCCCAGAACTTCCACGATCTTCCTGAAACTGTGGACCTTTTCACGACAGCTTTCAATTCCTGTTGTTCTTCCACTTTGCACCCAGCTCTGGGCAGCCACTGTTCTGCTCTGTGTTTTTCCTTAAATTCAGCTCTTCATTGTTTTTACATTTACTCATTGTGTGTGTGTGTGTGTGTGTGTGTGTGTGTGTGCGCGCGTGCGCGCGCGCGTGCGCGGGACACTCTGACAGTGTGGAGATGAGAGGACAACTTTCAGAAGCTGGTGGTTCACCATGTGGGCCCTGGGGGCCAAGCTCGTCATCAGGGCTTTGTGGCAAGATCCTTTATCTGCTCAGCCATGTAGTTAGCCAGAATTCAGGTCTTTTACGTTCAAAATGTAGGTAAGATCATGCAGTGTTTGTCTTTTTGTACCTGGCTACTTTTACATGTTTACATCCGTCAGTGTCAGAATTGGCAGAATTTTGTTCTTTTTAAAGTGTGAGTGGTGATCCATGATATATATCCTACATTTTCTTCATTCATTCATTAATTCACAATGGACACTTAGGTTGATACCATATCACTGCTGCTGCACTGGGCTGAGAGAGGTCAGAGGCCTTCTTAACATATTGACTGCATTTCCTTTGGCTATATGGCCGAGCGTGGGCTTCCTGAATGTCTGGTAGTTCTCTTTTTAATTTTATGGAAGTTCACACGGTGGTCTATGGGAGCTGTACTGTTACCCTCACCAACTGTGCACAGGTAACCAGGGTTTGTCTTGCACACAGCTCTAGTCCCAATTCCTGCTGTCCCTGTCTCCTGCTTCTCTGACCCTTTGGAGGTTTGTGGCCCTGACGTCTTCTCCTCTGCCTGGATGTGCGGCAGCACCCCAGCACTTTGTGAGCTGAGTGTCAGGACAAGGTGTGAGCTGATTTCCCCGAAATCTCGCTTGTCCTGGAGATAGCCTCCTGGGCCAGATGCCTCTTCAGGACCAAAGTTCAGTTCCCGCCACTCTTCAGCCCACTGGCAATCTCAGAAGGTGCAAGTGCCACATATCCTGGTGGTGACAGATTAGAGGAGGGCCAGAGGCGACAACACAGTTGCTGCGGAGGGCCTGAGAGGTGACTGATGAGGCCCCAAGCCCGCGCAGTGGATTGAGACCCCCCCCCCCGCCCCCCATTCCCCCCTTCTCCGGCATGAAGCTGAAGCAGGGCCACGGGGTTTCCTGCGCTGAGCACTTAGAGCCTTGTTAGGTAAAAATACTTTTGTGGATTTTCTCCTATTATTGGTGTGAATGAATAACCCCTCAACCAAAATGTGATCTTCTGGATGGCAGGGAGTGGGTTTCTGTCTGTATTTGTGAAGTGCTTGGTGATACTTCACTTAGTAGCCACAATAAGGGGAAAAAGACCCATAAGAGGGGGACCACAGAGAGACGTTCAGCATGCTTTGTTCAACAAAGAGGAACTTATCAATCTATTTATGCCGTTCCATCCATTTTTAGAAAAAAAGTATCTCCTTAGAACAGACCTTCCTGTTTTCCTTTTATGCATGGTGCCCCCCCCCATCCCCCCATCCCACCCTTCTGTCCTCACACAAGGAAAAAGCCCAGACAATCCTGCACAATATGTTAAGTGCTGGTTACGCCTCTGGGTTGAGGTTATGGCAGCTAAGCAACAGTTGAATGACTTAAATAGAGGCAGGAGGGCAGGACACAGGCTTGAGGAAAACACGAGCACCTGGGCCTCAGAAGGTCCCCACGGCATCTCCCGGATGAAGGAAATCCGAAATAAAGGCTAGTTGGTGCCTGTTTATTAGTCGCCAGAATGTTTCCATCTTGTCTGTCTGCTTCAGGAGCCAGCTTCCGAGGGGGAGAGGAGCTGATTATCCTAGCCTGCCTCGTGTGCATTTCCTGGGTTCCACGGCGGCAGAACACGGGTGGGAAACCGCGGCTATCATCAAAGAAAGGGGCACAGACGATGCTATGCGGTGGGGGTGGGGAATAAGATGACTGCCAAGGACCACGGGGTGTTTCTTTGATTGCGGTTTCTTGACATTTTCGCCAGAAACATTTAAAAATACTTCTCTTGTCTTTTTATCTGTAGTTTTTCTAAACTATTCCCCCCCCCAAACATCTTAAGTACATCTTATACATAAAATATTTGTATACATTCTGGTAAGAGACACTATATTGTTCAAGAAATATAGTGCCAAACGATAAAGGTCGAGGAAGGAGCCAGTGCCCTGGAAGGGCTGCCGAGAGCGTTTGAGTAGGAAAAGTGACGGGATACCCGCAAGGCTGGCTCTCGGGAGGACCACTGGCTTTATTCTGGGGCTGAGGAGACTCAGGTCTAGTTAAGGGCCCCTTCCACTGCTGAGAGACCGGTATTAGAGTTCAGGGGTGGGGCTGAAG